AAAAAATCCAAAAGAAAAAAATAAATCTTCAAAAAAATCAAAAATTCCAAAAAAAAATAAAAATTCCAAAAAAATTCAAAAATTCCAAAACATCGAAAAAAATCCAAAAAGAAAATCAATGAAATCCAAGAAAATCCAACAAAAACCAATAAATCGAAAAAATCCAGAAAATCCAGAAAATCCAAATAATCTGGAAAATCTGAAAATCTGAAAAATTCAGAAAATTTGAAAAATCTAGGAAATCTGGAAATCATGTAAAATCTTGAAAAACCAGAAATTTAAAAAAAATCCAGAAAATCCAGAAAAAAATCCAAAAAATTCCAAAAATCCGAAAGAAAAAAGAAACAATCTTTAAAAAAAATCAAAAATTCCAAAAAAATTCAAAAAATCCAAAACATCGAAAAAAATCCAAAAAGATAAAATCAATGAAATCCAAGAAAATCCAACAAAAACCAATAAATCGAAAAAATCCAGAAAATCCAAATAATCTGGAAAATCTGAAAAATTCAGAAAATCTGCAAAATCTGGAAAATCTAGTAAATTTGGAAAGTCCAGAAAATTTTGGAAAATCTGGAAAATCCACAAATTTCGGAAAATCTGGAAAATTCAGAAAATCTGCAAAATCTGGGAAAACCAGACAATCTCGAAAACCTGGAAAATTCAGAAAATCTGGAATATCCAGAAAATTTGAAAAGTCCAGAAAATTTAAAAAATCTGGAAAATCCAGAAAATCTGGTATTAATTGACAAATTTCAGTAAATCTTGCAAATCTGGAAATCATGGTAAATCTTGAAAAACTAGAAAATTAAAAAAAGTCCAAATAATCTAAAAAATCCAACAAAAGACGAAAAAATCCAGAAAATCCAGAAAAAAATCCAAAAATATACAGGAAAAATCAAAAATTCCAAAGAGAACCAAAAATCGAAAAAAATCTAATAAGATAAAAATCAATGAAATCCAAGAAAATCCAACAAAAACCAATAAATCGAAAAAATCCAGAAAATCCAGATAATCTGGAAAATTAAAAAATCTGGAAAAACCAAAAGATCTGCAAAATTTGGAAAATCTAGAAAATTTTGAAAGTCCAGAATATTCAGAAAATCTGGAAAATTTGGGATATCCAGAAAATTTGAAAAGTCCAGAAAATTTAAAAAAATCTGGAAAATCCAGAAAATCTGTGATTACTTCACAAAATTCAGAAAATCTGGCAAATCTGAAAATCATGGAAAATCTTGAAAAACCAGAAAATTAAAAAAAATCCAAATAATCTAAAAAATCCAACAAAAGACGAAAAAATCCAGAAAATCCAGAAAAAAATCCAAAAATATAAAGGAAAAATCAAAAATTCCAAAGAGAACCAAAAATCCAATAAGATTAAAATCAATGAAATCCAAGAAAGTCCAACAAAAACCAGTAAATCGAAAAAATCCAGAAAATCCAGATAATCTGGAAAATCAAAAAATCTGGAAAATTCTGAAAATTTGAAAAATCTTTGAAATCTGGAAAATCCACAAAATTCAGAAAATCTGGAAAAACCAAAAAATCTGCAAAATTTGGAAAATCTAGAAAATTTTGAAAGTCCAGAATATTCAGAAATCTGGAAAAATTGGGATATCCAGAAAATTTGAAAAGTCCAGAAAATTTAAAAAAATCTGGAAAATCCAGAAAATCTGAGAAATTCACAAAATTTAAAATAATCTGGCAAATCTGGAAATCATGGAAAATCTTGAAAAACCAGAAAATTAAAAAAAATCCAAATAATCCAAAAAATCCAACAAAAGACGACAAAATCCAACAAATCCAGAAAAAAAATCCAAAAATCTAAAGGAAAAAATCAAAAATCTTAAAAAAATAAAAAATTCTAAAAAGAAATCAAAAATTTCAAAAAGAACCAAAAATCCAGAAAATTCAGATAATCTGGAAAATCTAGACAATTCAGAAAATTTGAAAAATCTTGGGAATCTGAAAAATCCACAAAATTCAGAAATCTGAAACGTCCAGCAAAATCTCGAAAATTTGGAAAGTCCAGAAAATTTGGGAAATCTGGAAAATCCGCAAATTCCGGGAAATCTGGAAAATCCAGAAAATCTCGAAAATCTGCAAAATCTGTAAAACCTAGAACATCCAGAGAATCTGGAAGGTCCAGAAAATCTAAAAAATCTGGAAAACCCAGAAAATCTGGAAAATTCACAAAATTCAGAAAATCTGGCAAATCTGGAAATCATGGAAAATCTTGAAAAATCTTACAATAGACGAAAAAATCCAGAAAATCCAGAAAAAAAAATCCAAAAAATTCCAAAAATTAAAAGCACAATAGTCAAAAATCTTAAAAAAACAAAAATTTTAGAAAAAATTCAAAAATTCCAGAAAGAACCAAACATCGAAAAAAAAAGTTAAAAAATCAATGAAATCCAAAAACGTCCAACAAAAACCAATAAATCGAAAAAATCCAGAAAATCCAGATGAGTTGGAAAATCTGAAAATCTGGAAAATTTAGAAAATTTGTAAAATCTGAAAAATCCAGAAAATCTGCAAAACCCAGAAAATTTGGGAAATCTGGAAAATCGACAAATTCCGGAAAATCTGGAAAATCCAGAAAATCTGGAAAACATGGAAAATCTTGAAGAATCGAAAAATTTAAAAAATCCAAATAATCCCAAAAATCCAACAAGACACGAAAAGATCCAGAAAATTCAGAAATCTGGAAAATCCACAAATTCCGTAAAATCTGCAAAATCTGGAAAATCTGCAAAACCTGGAACATCCAGAGAAACTAGAAAAAGTGGAAAATTCAGAAAACTTGGCAAATCTCGAAAACATGGAGAATCTTGAAAAACGGGAAAATAAAAAAAATCCAAATAATCCAAAAAATCCAACAAAAGACGAAAAAATTCAGAAAATCAAAGGAACAATAGTCAAAAATCTTAAAAAAATCAAGAATTCTAAAAAAAATTCAAAAATTCCAGAAATAACCAAACATCGAAAAAATCCAGTAAGTTAAAAACATCAATGAAACCCAAAAACTCCAACAAAAACTAATAAATCGAGAAAAAATTCAGAAAATCCAAATAAGCTGGAAAATTTGAAAATCTTGAAAATTCGAAAATTTGTAAAATCCGGGAAATCTGGAAAATCCACAAATTCCGGAATATCTGGAACATCCAGAAAATCTCGAAAATCCAGAAAATCTGGAAAACATGGAAAATCCAACAAGAGACGAAAAAACATCCAGAAAATTCAGAAAATCCAAAAGAAAATTCAAAAATCTAAAGAAAAAATCACAATTGAGTTGGGATGGGTGGTCAGGGTTTATATTTTTCCTTTTTTTCTTAATATGCATAGTATTCTTTGAATAACACAATACTCAAAACCATGGTTTTAAATTTGATTTTAAAATTTGAGTTTGAACAAAAAATTGATTAACTACGTACCATGCTTACGATAACCTAAGAAATCTGGATGTCTAGGATAAAAATTCAACACGGGTTCATAAACTACGTGTACAGGAGTATCTTATTTTATAAAATTTAAATAATATTTACTCCTGTAAATTTGTGATGATGTCTACAAATTGTAATACACATATAAATTAACTTTGAAAGTAAAAAGATGCCCTTATTTAATTAATATTTACATAATTATATCGTTTTTTATGTGTATTTGTAATTGTGACATTCTGCTATGTGAAAAATGTAAATAATTGTATCAAAAAATTTCCCGGTGTCCCGGCGGCACAATCCGACACTGGTTTCCAGTAGCAAGCTTCTATGGAGTATGTGGAATATCTGATGCAATAACCGAAGTTTCTAGTGGACATATAAGTTTAAAGACGCCTAGAAAGAATGCGCAAATTTAAAGTGCCCGCACGACACATACCACAATGGTTTGTACACAACCCATAGTGGCTACCCAACAATACCGTTATTACCATGAAACGAACCAGATTACTACTACCATTAATGAACGCCGAGTTCCTGTGAAAAATTGAGAGCGACAACTGAATGAAATTTATCACCTCCAGGCAAATATAGTTTTTTCAGCCTTATTTAAATACATCTCTAAACCGCAGTCTTCTGACCTGGTTAACCGGAGGTGCGGTCTACGATTAAAATTAGGTGACATACAAACGTTATCCTAAGTAAAATGTCCGCAAATTATGGCCGCTTCAATTTCCCCGACAGGAACAAAAATCGCTACTTTTACACCGAAATAATTAAACGTGTAATATCGCGCTCCAGTTAGTGAATCACCATCGCTCGTAAAGTTTTCATTGTTTAGAAAAAAATCCAGAATCTGGTTTCTCTCAATTCGTTGCATTAATTGTAACTAAGAGTTCACTTTGTTGCAATTAAACTAAACTGACATCCGTAATCCACGTTTTAAAGTACTTGCGGAACGTCGTGAGCAAGCATGCGCGACTTTGTAACTTACTAACCTACAACACTCCGAGTGATAGTTTCTATTTCCGCAAGTTCACGTCGTTATCGAGTTCATTTAAATTTTTTTACTTTTGTTTAAACAAAAACAAAACTGCTGCGGCAAAAACCGACGGCGAACGCTTTGATCTTTGTTGTTTTGATCCATAAATCACTACAAGTCACACTTTCCGCTTATCTTTGACTGTGACATTTACTATATCGTAAATTAGCAGGTGTCGTTTTGGTTTGACAGTTTGGTTGTAATGCGTGTTGTGGACGAGGCGGCAAACGCACTTTTGTGTGTTCGGGGTCCGGTTTGTTAATGATTTTGGTAATTAAGGTGCGATGATTCGGATTTGGCAAATTAGGTGTTTTAATTGGGTTTGGGCCGTTTTCTAGCTTTAATCATGAAACGCCACTTAAACTCTGAAAGGTATTAATAGTTATTGTATGAATTGCGAATGTTGTTTTAAGGCGAAAAAGCTCCGTTATTGTTTGTTCATTGAACGTAGGAATAATTTCTCGGTCTGCTAGTTGAAATTTTATATTATATTGTTGGTGTTGGCGATCTCTCGTCGGTAAAGGTAAAGGGGAAAATGTGTATTTTCTATTTCCTACAGACCTAAATAATCATCAATTAAGAGTCTAGAGAAAAACGCAGATAAAACGAGTAAAATGTAGAAACTGGAACATTCATCTCTAGAGACAGTTTTAGAAATATAGAACAATTATTTGCCATACTTTCATGGTAGACTTTTTTTATGCATTCTTGAGATGTGTCTGCACTTATAAGAAGTAAGTGTAGACGTCGTCTTAGATTTTGTTCTCATTTAATTCCGCCAATCTCATCTAAACTAGTTTCCATCCAACCTAATGAAACCTGTTATTGGAAAATTAATCTCTCGAGCTAAATGACGATTCGTCTCTATGTCCAATCCACATACGGCTTGCGTAGAAAGGCGTAAGAAGATAAACAATTTTTTTTAATGCAAGAAACGCGTTTCGTGAGGAAAAACACTGGATGATACACTTTTTTTAATCTCGCTTTGGCTATATAAACTAAATCCGCCATCAGCCGATCACAGTTTCGAAATCCGCAAAGGGCGCAATGTTCGCTAGGAACTTGGTGCTTTTGCTCGTACTAAGTGCGTCTCTGGCCGACGATGCTACGAAAGGTGATCGCGGTGACTTCAGGAAGTCGTTGTCGAGGGACTGCGACAAGTCCTACTCGCCGACATGCCTCAAACTGGATATAGTGTCCTGGGTCGACAAGCTCAACGAAGAAGACAATTACAGTGTGCTTCCCGGAGTGTCAGTGGTGCGCGAAGCGTCGGGGGCGCGGGCGAACACGGCCGACATCGTCGCCGAGCTCGCCAGGGACTTCCCCAACGACCCGGACGCCCGGCTGGACGGCTTCCTCGTCAAGAAGGTGGCCGACTACCTCAACGGGCACTCGCTGCGATTGAACCTGTGGAACAGGCGCGGCGAGGCGCAGGCTAGAGGAGGCGGAGGCGGCGGCGGCGGCGGCGGAGGCGGCGGCGGCAAGAAGGGCGGCGGCGGTCTGGAGTACGTGTTGGCGGCCGGCGCGATGATGAAGGGCACGCTGATGGCGCTGGCGTTCGGGGGGCTGGCGGCGATCGCGGGAAAAGCATTGATGACGGGGTTGATTTCGCTGCTGCTTTCGGCGATCATCGGATTGAAGAGTTTGACCCATCATGGGCACAAGTCAACAACGTACGAAGTCATCTCCAAGCCCATTTACACCCACGCGAATACGCATTCGGTGTCGCATGAAGAGCATGGAGGAGGAGGAGGACATTATGGACACTCCTCCTATGGAAGGAGTTTCGATATGCCACTACCTCTGGGGCTGCAGGAAGACTACAAGCCACCACAATAACATGTACAAACTATTTATTGCCATTTGTTATTTATTTGTCTTATTTATTTTTCTGTCTGTTTTCTCCAATAAATTATGTGTCTGTTATTCAGTCATTTTTACTAATCGAACGCAAACTAGAGAGTTTCTAGACGTTTCATTGTCATAGAACGTGAAAAAGTAGGTCTGCCCTTTCCTTCCGCTCGTCGTCTGTTGACCACTAGATTAGATTGTTGTGAAATTTTAATCCAGATGGTAACACGCTAACCGAATTTTTCGGATCGTCCATCCCCTGGTCCTGGTGTCTTCTATTCTAAATATTCCGCTGTATCAGTTTACTTTCGGACCGAACACTTTTTTGCGTATTTTGTTGTGTTCCGCCTCACTGGTGCTCTGATAGTTATTTGCCGCCAGGCTTCGCTTACATATTTCGCTCCAACATAAACAACGAAGACGATAAAGTGACGGAAACGCTCTATTTGCTGCGTTCCCTTAAAATTATTTTGTTATGGAAATTTTACGCACGCTGTAGTGCTCTAGAAAAATTCGGAGCAAAATCAGTGTAGTGAAGTTCGGAAAAATTTATCAAAAATTATAAAACCGGCGATTAATACAAAAAATGTTGCATGACGGACTGACATTTACAATATCGGTCTGATTATTATTAGTTAGCATTATGTCCTTTTTTCACCGTAAATTAGTTAATAAAGTGACATGCAACATTGTAATAAAATCTCAGCATTTTTGTCACTTTGTTGGCGTCGACTTTTTTTGAATTTTTTGAGCAGCGATAAAATAATCGTCGAGACAAAAAAGATACTTTTTCTACCGTTTTCCGATTAAATGAGAGTGTCGTGTCGCGCAAACGAGGTATGTAAATAGTTATTGTAAATTTAGTTTCTATTTAATTGATAATTATTTACATACAGGACGAAAAAGTCACTTGCAGTCCGCTGGTCAAAGAAAAAATTGTTTTGCGTAATCGCTTGTTTGAAAAAATGATGAAAGAGTGGTCCGAATTTTTGAAAATCCCAGATTTGAAAGAACTGCAATACGAGGTAGAGGAAAATCGCAAGTGTTAGAGAACGAGTGGCTGTAACGATCTTACGTGTTTGAATTTATCAGTGTGTGATTACTGTTTATTAAGTGATGAAGATTTTAGTTGTGGTCTGTTACTTATTGTTTCATAAAGAAAATAAACGACGCATTTTTGTGTGTGTGTGTGTGTGTGTGTTTTTTTTTTTTCAGAAAAAAGAACTGTGGAATTACTTAGTGATGGCAAGTTTTATGGAGTGTTATAGTGTGGTACTCCCATGGAACGAATATTTTCTGGAAAAAAGTTAAAATTTAGAAAAAATTACGAATTTTCAAAAAATTTCTCTGCAACACGGAATAAAACAACTTGAGTTTGTTAATTTTGTTGAGTTTTAAATTCTCTCAAAAAAAAAGCCAGAATTCTTAAAAAAAAGTATACGGGGGGCTGAGATTCTTTATATTGTTTAAAAAATAAAACAAGATACCTTAAAATTAAAAAAAAAAACGAAGGGCCCTAACGATTCTTTAATAATTCTTTGATGATGTCACCGTACAATTTTGGAGAATAAATGTTATTTAAATGTTAAAAAGTAACATGGTCATCAACTGTGCTTTATGAATTCGTGTCCTAGACATCGAGACATCAAGATTTTTGGAAAAAAATCAAAATTATATAATAATTTTTCGATTTCTCGATTTTTCAACTTTCGGTTTCTCAATTTTCCGATATTTCTGATTTGGAGTTTTGCAGTCTGTTAATTCTTCAATTTTTCGGGTTTTAATTTTTGATGTTCCTAAATTTTCGATTTTCCGATTTCTCGTTTGTTGATTCTTCGATTCATCAATTTTTTGATTTTTCCATTTCTCGATTTCCCGACTTTTCGGTGTTCGATTTCTCGATATTTTAGTTTTTCAATTCTTCAATTTTTGGATTTTCAAATCTTTCAATTTTTCGATTTCTCAGGTTGAGTTTTCAATTTTTAGATTTTTTTACGACTTTTAAATTTTTTCGATTTCTCGATTTCTCAATTTTTCATTTTTCAATCTTTCCATTCTTCAGTTTCTTGATATTTTAATTTTTCAATTTTTTCAATTTTAGATTTTTCGGTTTCTCTATGTATTTTGTCAATTTTTCTGATTTTTAAATTTTAGATTTTTCAGTTTTGTGATGTTTCGAATTCCCGATTTTAAAATTTTTTAATCCATCAATTTCTCGATTTTTCGCATCGATTTTAAAAATTTTTAGACTTTTTCGATTTTCTGGTGTTCCAGTTTGTTCAGTTTGTCAATTTTTCAGTTTTTCGATTTTTAAAATGTTTTGATTTCTCGATTTATGGACATTCCGATAATTCAATTTTTTGATTGTTCGATTTTGTTCCATTTGTCGATTTTCCGACTTTTCGATGTTCGATTTCTCCACTTCTAGATTTCTCGATTTTTCAGCTTTTTCAATTCCGCAATTTTTGTACTTTCCAATTCTTCAATTTTTCGATTTCTCTACTTTCAATTTTTATCTTTTTTAACGACTTTTTTTTCGATTTTTTACTGTTTCGCATTTTCAATTCTTCTTCAGTATCATGAAATTTTTCTAATTTTTAAATTTTAAATTTTTCAGTTTGGTGATGTTTCGATGTCTCGATATTTCGATTTTTCGACTTCTCGCTTTTAAATTTTTTAATTTGTTGAATTTTAAAATTTTTATTTTTTCGATTTTTCAATTTTCGAATTTTTCAAATTCACGATTTATGATTTTTTTTTACTTTAACTATTTCAATTTTTCAATTATAAATTTTTCGATTTGGGCTATTCAATTTCTCGACTTTTCGATTTCTCTATTTTTCGATTTTTCGTCTTTTCGGCTTTTCAATTTTCTAATTTTTCGACGTTTTAATTTTTCACTTTTTCGATTTCAGAATTTTTCGAGAATTCATTTGGCTGATTTTTTAATTTCTTAATTTGTTGGTTTTTTGATTTTTCGGTTTTCTAATTAATATTCGATTTCTTAAATTTACATTTTTCGGTTTTCTGATGTTTCGAATTCCCGATTTTTTAATTTTTTAATACTCCAATTTTTCGAATTCTCGCATCGATTTAAAAAATTTTGGATTAGTAGATTTTTCAATTTTTAGTGTTCCGATTTTTCGGTTTTTTAATTTTTCAGTTGTTTCAGTTCTTCAATTTTTGGTTTTTCCAATTTTTCGATTTCTCAGGTCACTGAGTTTTCAATTTTTAATTTTTTAACAACTTTTCGATTTTTTCGATTTCTCCATTTTTCAATTTTTCGATGTTCAGCTTTGAGATTTTTCAATTTTTCGATTTTTAATTTATGGATTATTTATCAATTTTTCAATATCTTGGGATTTTTAATAGTTCAATTTTTTGAATTTTAGATTTTTCGATTTTTTTATGTTTCGAATTTTCAGTTTTTCAATCTTTCACTTCTTCAGTTTTTTGATATTTATTTTAATTTTTCGATTTTTTTCAATTTTAGGTTTTTCGATTTTTCCATTTTTCAGTTCTTCGATTTTTCTATGTATTTGTCAATTTTTCTAATTTTTAAATTTTAGATTTTTCAATTTTGGAATTTTTCGAATTCGTAAATTATCGATATATTTTCTTAATTTTAACCATATATTTCAATTTTTCAATTATTAACTTTTCGATTTTGGGCTATTCAGTTTCTCAATTTTTCGATTTTTCGATTTCTCAGGTTATTGAGTTTTCAATTTTTAATTTTTTTAACGACTTTTCGATTTCTCCATTTTTCAATTTTTCAATGTTCAGTTTTGAGATTTTTCAATTTTTCGATTTTTAATTTATCGATTTATCAATTTTTCAATTTCTTGGGATTTTTAATAGTTCGATTTTTTGAATTTTACATTTTTCGATTTTTTTGTGTTTCGAATTTTCAGTGTTTCAATTTTTCCATTCTTCAATTTCTTGATATTTTAATTTTTCGATTTTTTTCAATTTTAGGTTTTTCGATTTTTCCATTTTTCAGTTCTTCGATTTTTCTATGTATTTGTCAATTTTTCTAATTTTTAAATTTTAGATTTTTAAATTTTGGAATTTTTCGAATTCGTAAATTATCGATATATTTTCTTAATTTTAACCATATATTTCAATTTTTCAATTATTAACTTTTCGATTTTGGGCTATTCAGTTTCTCAATTTTTCGATTTTTCGATTTCTCAGGTTATTGAGTTTTCAATTTTTAATTTTTTTAACGACTTTTCGATTTCTCCATTTTTCAATTTTTCAATGTTCAGTTTTGAGATTTTTCAATTTTTCGATTTTTAATTTATCGATTTATCAATTTTTCAATTTCTTGGGATTTTTAATAGTTCGATTTTTTGAATTTTACATTTTTCGATTTTTTTATGTTTCGAATTTTCAGTGTTTCAATTTTTCCATTCTTCAATTTCTTGATATTTTAATTTTTCGATTTTTTCAATTTTAGATTTTTCGATTTTGGAATTTTTCGAATTCGCGATTTATCGATATATATTTTTTTAATTTTAAACACATTTCAACTTTTCAATTATTAACTTTTCGATTTTGGGCTGTTCAATTTCTCAATTTTTCGATTTTTTTCGATTCCTCAATCTTTTCATGTTTCGATTTCCGGATGTTTAAATTTTTCGATTTTTCTGTTTTTCGATTTGTCGTTTTTTTGGTTTTTCAATTTTCCAATTTTTCGACGTTTTAATTTTTCAATTTTTCGATTTTACAATTTTTCGAGGATTCAGCTGGCAGATTTTTCAATTTCTCGTTTTGTTGATTTTTTTTGACTTTTCGGTTTTCCAACTATTCGATTTATTAAATTTTACATTTTTCTATTTTACGATGTTTCGAATTCACGATTTTTTAATTTTTTAATGTTTCAATTTTTCGATTTCGCGTATCGATTTTAAAATTTTTTGGATTTTTCAATTTTTTGTGTTCGGATTTTTCGGTTTTTCAATTTTTCATATTTTCAATACTTCAATTTTTGGGTTTTCCAATTTTTCAATTTTCCGATTTCTCAGGTTACTGAGTTTATCAATTTGTCTTATAGTTTTGGGATTTTTAATAGTTGGATTTTTTTAATTTTAGATTTTTCGATTTTTTTGTTTCAAATTCTCGATATTGAAATCTTTCCATTCTTCAATTTCTTGATATTTTGATTTTTCGATTTTTTCAATTTTAGATTTTTCAGTTCTTATTCGATTTTTCTATTATTTGTCAGTTTTTCTTTTTAGATTTTTTAATTTAGGAATTTTTCGAATTCACGATTTATCTATATATATTTTTATTTTAACAACACTGTTCAATTTCCCAATTTTTTTATTTTTTAGTCTGTTCATGTTTCGATTTCCCGATGTTTGAATTTTTCGATTTTCCAATTTTTCGATGTTTTAATTTTTTCATTTTTCGAGAAGTCAGTTTGGGGATTTTTCAAATTGTCGATTTGTTGGTTTTTTGATTTTTCGGTTTTCCAGTTTTCCAATTTTTCCATTTTGTTAATTTTACATTTTTCAATTTTCCATTTTCGATTTCACGATTTTCTGATGTTTTGAATTCCCGATGTCTAAATTTGTTCCGAATTTTGGGTTTTCCATTTTTTCAATTTTTCGATTTCTCAGGTTATTGAGCTTTCAATTTTTAGATTTTTTAACGACTTGTCGATTTTTATTATTGATTTATCAATTTTTTTATATTTTAGTTTTGGGATTTTTCAATAGTTCGATTTTTTAAATTTTAGATTTTTCGATTTTTTAATGTTTCGAATTCTCAGTTTTTAATTTTAGATTTTTCGATTTCTCCATTCTTCAGTTCTTCGATCTTTCTATGTATTTGTCAGTTTTTCTTATTTTCAAATTTTAGATTTTTTAATTTAGGATTTTTTCGAATTCACGATTTAACTATATATTTTTTTATTTTAACAACACTGTTCAATTTCCCAATTTTTTTAACGACTTTTCGATTTTTATTATTGATTTATCAATTTTTCTATATTTTAGTTTTGGGATTTTTCAATAGGTAGTTCGATTTTTTAAATTTTAGATTTTTCGATTTTTTAATGTTTCGAATCCTCAGTTTTTAAATTTAGATTTTTCGATTTCTCCATTCTTCAGTTCTTCGGTTTTTCTATGTATTTGTCAGTTTTTCTTATTTTCAAATTTTAGATTTTTTAATTTAGGAATTTTTGGAATTCACGATTTATCTATATATATTTTTATTTTAACAACACTGTTCAATTTTCCAATTTTTTGATTTTTTAGTCTGTTCATGTTTCGATTTCCCAATGTTTGAATTTTTCGATTTTCCAATTTTTCGATGTTTTAATTTTTTCATTTTTCGAGAAGTCAGATTGGGGATTTTACAAATTGTCGATTTGTTGGTTTTTTGATTTTTCGGTTTTCCAATTTTCCAATTTTTCCATTTTGTTAATTTTACATTTTTCAATTTTCCATTTTCGATTTCACGATTTTCTGATGTTTCGAATTCCCGATGTCTAAATTTGTTCCGAATTTTCGGTTTTTCAATTTTTGGGTTTTCCATTTTTTCAATTTTTCGATTTCTTAGGTTATTGAGTTTTCAATTTTTAGATTTTTTAACGACTTTTCGATTTTTATTATTGATTTATCAATTTTTCTATATTTTAGTTTTAGGATTTTTCAATAGTTCGATTTTTTAAATTTTAGATTTTTCGATTTTTTAATGTTTCGAATTCTCAGTTTTTAATTTTAGATTTTTCGATTTCTCCACTCTTCAGTTCTTCGATGGTTCTATGTATTTGTCGGTTTTTCTAATTTTTAAATTATAGATCTTTCAATTTTGTGGTGTTTCGACTTCTCGGTTTTAGATTTTTTAATTTTTTGTTTTTTAAAATTTTTCATTTTTCGATTTTACAATTTTGGAATTTTTCGAAATTACGATTTAACGGGAATTCAGTTTGGGGGTTTTCAGTTTCTCGGTTTTTTGATTTGTCGGTTTTCCAGTTTTCCAATTTTTCCATTTTGTTAATTTTACATTTTTCAATTTTCCATTTTCGATTTCACGATTTTCTGATGTTTCGAATTCCCGATGTCTAAATTTGTTCCGAATTTTCGGTTTTTCAATTTTTGGGTTTTCCATTTTTTCAATTTTTCGATTTCTCAGGTTATTGAGTTTTCAATTTTTAGATTTTTTAACGACTTTTCGATTTTTATTATTGATTTATCAATTTTTCTATATTTTAGTTTTGGGATTTTTCAATAGTTCGATTTTTTAAATTTTAGATTTTTCGATTTCTCCATTCTTCAGTTCTTTGATTTTTCTATGTATTTGTCAGTTTTTCTAATTTTTAAATTATAGATCTTTCAATTTTGTGGTGTTTCGACTTCTCGGTTTTAAATTTTTCTTTTTTTTGTTTTTTAAAATTTTTCATTTTTCGATTTTTCAATTTTGGAATTTTTCGAATTTAGGATTTAACGGGAATTCAATTTCTCGATTTCTTGGTTTTTTGATTTGTCGGTTTTCCAATTTTTCAATTTTTTAAAATTATACATTTTTCGATTTTACGATTTTCTGAATTTTCGAATTTCCGATTTTAATTGTTTTTAATATTTCAGTTTTTCAATTTCTCGCATCGATTTTGAAATTTTTGGACTTTTCGATTTTTTCGTGTTTCGATTTTTTGGTTTTTCAATTTTTCATTTTTTCGGTTTTTAAAGTGTTTTGATTTCTGGATTTTTCGACATTCCGATGTTTCAATTTTTCGGTTGTTCGATTTCTCAATATTTCGATTTTTCGAGAAGTCACCCTTTGGTTTTTACTTTATAGAGGTTATCAGATAACAAAAATAACAAAAAAGATATATAATTTTCAATTCATCCAGTTTTTTTAGGATAGCCCCATCTGCTAAAATGAAATAAGGGTGGATTATTGAACCACAAAATAGTGAAATTTTATATAAAAAAAGTACATTTTAATATCTACACGGAAGCCCTAATAGTATTATTGTTCGAAGAATATTTAATCCATGAAGAAATGTCTGGATTATCGTTTTCTTAGCTTATGCTCTGGAGGCAAAAATCCTTTCTCCAGTTTGGAAAAGGATGTCACAATTATAACTGCACTTTATAAATAAGTATAATATTAAAAATGCAATAATGGTGGCTTATATGCTTCAAGTGTCACAAATTTCTATTTCATCGAAGCTCTAAATTGTTGTTTTTCTATTTCTTTCGTCTAATTTTCTGCACAAAAGTGACCACCAAAAAGTAAACAACTTTAAAAAGTGTTTAATCTTTTCGTCGAATTTGAGTTTTTTGTCCTCCGGAACGGGTTCTTCCAGCGAGCGCTCCGCACGTCAAATTTCCACTCATTATCTCTGCGTTTTTTCCGTTGCAAGCGCATCCTGACGTACCTGGTGCAGCTCTGCGAAGTGTGAATGCCGCTACAGTTATTGAAGAATTAATGAAAAAATTAGAGCGGTGATAGTACATACAGCAGCCGTGCATTTCATGTTCACTGAGATTATCGAATTATATCCCCGTCACTTGCTCACAATACCTTCTTGCTCCACTAACTCCATTCATCGATAGATGGTCACTAAATTAAGGAATAGGAGGTAACGTTTTTCTCACTCCAGATGCCACAACTATATAAACCACTATCATTTTCAATTTCGACATCAGTCTTCCTTCCGAGCTCGCACCAACATGTTGCGCTTACCGTTCTTGTGCTTTTGCGTTGCACTCGCCCTCCTCGGGCCGGTCGCCTCCGACAACGCCATCCAGAAACCTAGTGACAAAAGTGAGTTGAAGAAAACCCTCTCGAGGGACTGCTCGTCGTCGTACACCTCCACGTGCCTCAAACTCGACATCGTGTCCTGGGTGGACAAGCTCAACGAGCAGGAGGACTACAACGTGCTCCCCGGGGTGTCCCTCGTCCGGGAAGACGGCAACAGCAGCCGCCCCAACACCGCCGACATCGTCGCCGAGCTGGCCAGAGACTTCCCCAACGACCCCGACGCCCGCCTGGACGCCTTCCTCATGAAGAAGGTCACGGGCTACCTCAACACCCACTCCATCAAGCTGAATCTGTTCAAGACAGACTCGGAGGAGTCGGCGAGGAAGGGCGGAGGTGGAGGCGGCGGCGGCAAGAAAGGCGACGGCTTGGGGGCGATCCTGGCGGCGGGAGCTATGATGAAGGGCACGATGTTCGCGCTGGCCTTGGGCGGGTTGGCGGCGCTGGCTGGAAAGGCGTTGATGACGGGGTTGATCTCGCTAATGCTTTCGGCTATCATCGGCATCAAGTCCTTGGCGGGCGGAGGCGGCAAGTCCACCACCTACGAAGTGATTGCGAAACCCATTTACACGCATTCTAACACGCATTCGGTGTCGCATGAAGAGCATGGAGGAGGACATTACGGGCATTCTTCCTATGGAAGGAGCTTCGACGTTCCGTTGCCTCTGGGACTACAGGCTGGGTATAAACCGGCAGTGTGAAAGTGGTGTCGATATTTATTTATTTATTTATTTATTGCTTGCACTAGTAATAAACTGCATCTTTTGTTGAAGTAAATTTGTTGCTTTATTTCGCCGGTTTAAAAAAAATGCGCTTTAGGGTTTGGAATTTGGAATTTCAAACTAGAAAATTTACTAAGTATGATGATACTAATAATCTCGATTCACATGATGTTTGAGTTCTTAATTCTAAATTAATATATTCAAATTATTTCGAAAATTCTATCAATTAATTCAGAATTACCCGGTTATGTGAGAATTTTGCGCTTCATACCACTAAATTCAGTTACTTAATTATCTGGACTTAATAAAGCACATAGTTCCATTTTATTAATTAAAAATACTTAGCAATTTATTCTTCCAAAACATTAATTTGAAATTTGTACTGAATTAACTGCAAAATTCCATCCATTATTTCAAAATTTGATGGTCACATTCAGTTTATTTTTTCAATATTTCAAAACTGGAGTACAATTCAGTCAAAATTTCCACTGAATAATCCAAAATTTGCTTTTAGTTTCTGTGTATAACCCCCTTTCAAATTTCACTTCGAATTTTTCCAAACTATTGCTCGGTGACCCTAAACACGCTATATTTTCCGAATCAGCACGTCAACATCTACATGCCTGAATTTTTTCAGAATTTTTAGACAACTTTTTTAAAAGTGAAATTTTTCCATTTCAAATTCCGGGCAATTTTTGCCATTTTCGAAACTTGAGTAAATAAATAAATTCTTGTAGATTTCGAGCTCTAGAACTAACTTTCGGCCTCGATTCTTTGATAACTGCAAACGTTTTTCCAGAATCGTCCGTTGAAATATCGAAATTTTTAGAAATTCTCAAAAATTCGCATTTCAAACCGATTGTAACAAAAATGTAGCTCCGTGACCATAATAAGTATTCTATATTTTTGAAATCAGCATGTCGAGATCTACATCCCCGAATTTTTTCAGAATTTTTAGGCAACTTTCGTAAAAGTGAAATTTTTCCAATGATCCCCCCTTCTTCAAATTTCGGCCAAAATTTCACATTTTCGAAACCTAACGAAACACATTTTCTTGTAGATTTCGAACTCTAGAACACGCTTCCGGTCTCGTTTCTTTGATAACTGCAACCGTTTTTCCAGAATCGGCTCTTGAAAAATCGAAATTTTTCAAAATTCCCAAAAATTCGCATTTCGTTGCGATTCTTTCGAAAATGTTGCTCCGTGTCCATCAACATGCTATATTTTTGGAATCAGCATGTCGAGATCTACGTCCCTGAATTTTTTCAGAATTTTTAGACAACTTTTGTTAAAGTGAAATATTTCCAATGGTCCCCCCTTCTTCAAATTTCGGCCAATATTTCACATTTTCGAAACTTCACTAAACACATTTTCTTGTAGATTTCGAGCTCTAGAACCCGCTTCCGGTCTCGTTTCTTTGGTAACTGCAACCGTTTTTTCAGAATCGGCACTTGAAAAATCGAAATTTTTCGAAATTCCCAAAAATTCGCATTAAGTAGCGATTCTTTCGAAAATGTTGCTCCGTGTCCATCAACATGCTATATTTTTGGAATCAGCATGTCGAGATCTACGTCCCTGAATTTTTTCAGAATTTTTAGACAACTTTTGTAAAAGTGAAATTTTTTCAATGGTCCCCCCTTCTTCAAATTTCGGCCAAAATTTCACATTTTCGAAACCTAACTAAACACATTTTCTTGGAGATTTCGAGCTATAGAACACGCTTCCGGTCTCGTTTCTTTGATAACTGCAACCGTTTTTCCAGAATCGGCAGTTGAAAAATCGAAATTTTTCGAAATTCCCAAAAATTCGCATTTCGTTGCGATTCTTTCGAAAATGTTGATCCGTGTCCATCAACATGCTATATTTTTGGAATCAGCATGTCGAGAGCTACGTCTCTGAATTTTTTCAGAATTTTTAGACAACTTTTGTAAAAGTGAAATTTTTTCAATGGTCCCCCCTTCTTCAAATTTCGGCCAAAATTTCTCTTTTTCGAAACCTAACTAAACACATTTTCTTGTAGATTTCGAGCTCTAGAACACGCTTCCGGTCTCGTTTCTTTGATAACTGCAACCGTTTTTCCAGAATCGGCTCTTGAAAAATCGAAATTTTTCGAAATTCCCAAAAATTCGGATTTCAAACCGATTCTATCGAGAATGTAACTCCGTGACCATAAGTATTCTATATTTTTGGAATCGGCATTTCGAGATCTACGTCCCTGAATTTTTTCATAATTTTTATACAACCTTTTTAAAAGCGAAATTTTTCCAATGGTCCCCCCTTCTTCAAATTTCGGCCAAAATTTCACATTTTCGAAACCTAAATAAACACATTTTCTTGTAGATTTCGAGCTCTAGAACACGCTTCCGGTCTCGATTCTTTGATAACTGCAACCGTTTTTCCAGAATCGGCACTTGAAAAATCGAAATTTTTCGAAATTCCCAAAACATGGCATTTCAAAGCGATTCTTTCGAAAATGTTGCTCCGTGTCCATCAACATGCTACATTTTTGGAATCAACATGTCGAGATCTACGTCCCCGAATTTTTTCAGAATTTTTAGACGACTTTTGTAAAAGTGAAATTTTTTCAATGGTCCCCGGTTCTTCAAATTTCGGCCAAAATTTCACATTTTCGAAACCTAAATAAACACATTTTCTTGTAGATTTCGAGCTCTAGAACACGCTTCCGGCCTCGTTTCTTTGATAGCTGCAACCGTTTTTCCAGAATCGGCACTTGAAAAAACGAAATTTTTCGAAATTCCCAAAAAATCGCATTTCGTAGCGATTCTTTCGAAAATGTTGCTCCGTGTCCATCAACATGCTATATTTTTGGAATCAGCATGTCGAGATCTACGTCCCTGAATTTTTTCAGAATTTTTAGACAACTTTTGTAACAGTGAAATTTTTTCAATGGTCCCCCCTTCAAATTTCGGCCAAAATTTCACATTTTCGAAACCTAACTAAATATATTTTCTTGTAGATTTCGAGCTCTAGAACACGCTTCCGGTCTCGTTTCTTTGATAACTGCAACCGTTTTTCCAGAATCGGCACTTGAAAAATCGAAATTTTGCAAAATTCCCAATAATTCGGATTTCGTAGCAATTCTTTCGAAAATGTTGCTCCGTGTCCATCAACATGCTATATTTTTGGAATCAGCATGTCGAGATCTACGTCCCTGAATTTTTTCAGAATTTTTAGACAACTTTTGTAAAAGTCAAATTTTTCCAATGGTTCCCCCTTCTTCAAATTTTGGCCAAAATTTCACATTTTCGAAATCTAACTAAAAACATTTTCTTGTAGATTTCGAGCTCTAGAACACGCTTCCGGTCTCGTTTCTTTGATAACTGCAACCGTTTTTCCAGAATCGGCACTTGAAAAATCGAAATTTTTAAAAATTCCCAAAACATCGCATTTCGTAGCGATTCTTTCGAAAATGTTGCTCCGTGTCCATCAACATGCTATATTTTTCGAATCAGCACGTCGAGATCTACGTCCCTGAATTTTTTCAAAATTTTTAGACAACTTTTGTAAAAGTGAAATGTTTTCAATGGTCCCCCCTTCTTCAAATTTCGGCCAAAATTTCACATTTTCGAAACCTAACTAAACACATTTTCTTGTAGATTTCGAGGTCTAGAACACGCTTCCGGTCTCGTTTCTTTGATAACTGCAACCGTTTTTCCAGAATCAGCAGTTGAAAAATCGAAATTTTTCGAAATTCCCAAAAAATCGCATTTCGTAGCGATTCTTTCGAAAATGTTGCTCCGCGTCCATCAACATGCTATATTTTTGGAATCAGCATGCCGAGATCTACGTCCCTGAATTTTTTCAGAATTTTTAGACAACTTTTGTTAAAGTGAAATTCTTTCAATGGTCCCCCCTTCTTCAAATTTCGGCCAAAATTTCACATTTTCGAAACCTAACTAAACACATTTTCTTGTAGATTTCGAACTCTAGAACACGCTTCCGGTCTCGTTTCTTTGATAACTGCAACCGTTTTTCCAGAATCGGCACTTGAATAATCGAAATTTTTCGAAATTCCCAAAAATTCGCATTTCGTAGCGATTCTTTCAAAAATGTTGCTCCGCGTCCATCAACATCCTATATTTTTGCAATCAGCATGTAGAGATCTACGTCCCTGAATTTTTTCAGAATTTTTAGACAACTTTTGTTAAAGTGAAATTTTTTCAATGGTCCCCCCTTCTTCAAATTTCGGCCAAAATTTCACATTTTCGAAACCTAACTAAACACATTTTCTAGTAGATTTCGAGCTCTAGAACACGGTTCCCGTCTCGTTTCTTTGATAACTGCAACCGTTTTTCCAGAATCGGCACTTGAAAAATCGAAATTTTTCGAAATTCCCAAAAATTCGCATTTCGTAGCGATTCTTTCGAAAATGTTGCTCCGTGTCCATCAACATGCTATATTTTTGGAATCAGCATGTCGAGAGCTACCTCTCTGAATTTTTTCAGAATTTTTAGACAACTTTTGTAAAAGTGAAAATTTTTCAATGGTCCCCCCTTCTTCAAATTTCGGCCAAAATTTCACATTTTCGAAACCTAACTCAACACATTTTCTTGTAGATTTCGAGCTCTAGAACACGCTTCCGGTCTCGTTGTTTCTTTGATAACTGCAACCGTTTTTCCAGAATCGGCACTTGAAAAATCGAAATTTTTCGAAATTCCCAAAAAATCGCATTTCATAGCGATTCTTTCGAAAATGTTGGTCCGTGTCCATCAACATGCTATATTTTTGGAATCAGCATGTCGAGAGCTACGTCTCTGAATTTTTTCAGAATTTTTAGACAACTTTTGTAAAAGTGAAATTTTTTCAATGGTCCGTCCCCCCTTCTTCAAATTTCGGCCAAAATTTCACATTTTCGAAACCTAACCAAACACATTTTCTTGTAGATTTCGAGCTCTACAACACGCTTCCGGTCTCGTTTCTTTGATAACTGCAACCGTTTTTCCAGAATCGGCACTTGAAAAATCGAAATTTTTCGAAATTCCCAAAAAATCGCATTTCGTAGCGATTCTTTCGAAAATGTTGCTCCGTGTCCAT